AACCCTAGCTGGAATTAAAACAAACAAAAATGTACAATTCTAAAGCTTTTTAATTTTAACCTATATGTAAATATGAACTTTGCTTACTTCTGGGCCTATTTATTATAAAAATCGAATTTAAATAGAGAATATAAACGTATTTTTCTCACAGTGTCTCCAACAAAGACAAGAGGCGGTATGGAAATTGGTTAAGCGGCAAAATGGGAAATGGCATCTCACACACACACGTGCTAAGCCCGAGAGTCAAAGGGAATCGATTAAATTTTCTTTTAATGCCCAACCATAAATTTCCCTTTTCGAGTTTTCCCACTTCCCGAGTTTTCCAGTGCCATTGTCAACGACCTTTCAACAAAACACAAAAAAAAAACATGAGGGGGGGACCAAAAAAAAAAAAGATAAAGGAAACCCCTAAGAAAGAGCAACAAAAATTGGAACACAAACAGAAACAGAACCTGAAACAGAAACAGAACCCCAAAAAACATACATATACATATACTTGCAAAATAAAAATAAAAATAAAAGTAAAAAACAAAAAAAAAATAAAGCAAAAATTATGTCTAACGTCACATTGCCGAGTTCAGCTGATTCTTTATCAGAGTTAAGTGCCAGGAATACGTCTACCCCGACTCCCAGGTCCTTGCTCTTTCTCCAGATCCGGCTACTGCTCCTCATACACACCCACCCACTCACCCACTTACTCACTCACTTATTATGTATGCCATTTGTTGTGGGGCAGTGGCAGAAAGTTGCCTCATTGCCACTACGTGTATGTAGGAACTCTCCTCATATGCAACCCTTGTCATTTCAAGACAGAAGAGTCATTTCCGGCTCTAAAAACTGCAGACAGAGGATCGAAAGAGTTAATTAAACTTAAAAAGAGTGTGAATTAAGGGTTTTTAAATTAATTTTTTATAATAAAATTATTATTTAATGAAAGCTAAAAGCTAGAAATCTAGCAGCCTAGATATGCTTTCCATCCTCTCCCCAGCTTTAGAAACTTCAACTCCCCCTGAGAAGCTGTCTTCCCATTTTAAACTGATTAAAACCCCCACTTAATAGAGATTAAAATAAAATACCATTTTAATCCCAGGGTATGTCGCACTTCGAGGCACTAATCTACACCCGAAACTCTTTTCGCTTCGCTGGCGAAATGAGAGATTTGCGAAGAGATTTACGCGCAACACCAAAATGAACTTTTGTGTGTAAATTTATGTGCAGCTCAAGGGGGGGGCAGTCAAGGCGCAACAAACACACAAAAAAAAAAGAGGGCTAAGTAACTAACGCCATTAGCTGCTTAGTTTCTGCCCCAAAACTCCCTGCCTCCCCCCACAAAAGACCCAAGTAATACCCAACCCCCCACCACTGGGCTAACATCCTAGAGAGGATTCCAAAGCCATCTCGGCATTTTTATTGCTGCATTCCTAGGAACAACATCCCGGGAAACATCACAGAAATCATCGCTTAAGTCAGCTTTCTGTTGAAGAATTGGTAGCTTTTGCGGAGGATGTTGGGGGGAAGGAGCCGTCTTTTGGCCAGCATTGATTCACGCTCAGGTGGAATCGAGGACACCGACATGGATTTGGGGATATTGAAGAGGATTAAGTTCCGAATGAAAATAAAACGCTGCACTTTAATCTGTCACTTGGTCCGGAAAGCAAAAATATCAGCCTCCAGCCTCCGGAAAAGAAAGCTTTCTTTCATTTTTTCATTCCTTTTCTTCTTTTTGTGTTTTTCTATCCACAAAAATATAAAAAAAAAACAATGTAGACAAAAATGTGATTACATTTGGCACATGAATATTCAACAACACCCAGCCCCCTCCCGACATTATAATGAGTCCGGGGGACACTTCAATGTTTTGAAAAATAAAAAGTGCAAATTGTTGTTTCATCACATAAGCAGCTGTGACCTTTAAAATGGTTTTTATCTCATACTGTCGATCATAAACACAATATTGTTGCACCTGATGATGAGGGGCCACCGCCGAAATGGCAATGGTTTTGGTGCGAAAAGTACTCTACTTGCTTCTAAATAAATGTCAGGAGTGCTTTGCATATCTCTGGAGGTTTTAAATCACTTTTTTGAGAGCCTTAAAGTAAGCTTTACACACGTTACAAGTCGATTTGGTTATTAAAGTTCATATGGAAGTGAAAATATTACAGAAATCTATAAGAAATCTTTGAAAATTGTAAATCATGATTTTGAGAGTCTAAAAGTTGGCTTAAAGCTGGCTTACACACTTTTCTTATAAAAGTTCATATAGAAGAGAAAATAATATAGAAATGAAATGGCAGTATGCAAGGGAAAGTACCTTTAAAAGTAAGTACCTTTAAAGGTATTACATTAAAAGTTATAAGCAAAATTGAATAAAAATGTTTGAAAAATCTTCTTCTGTTTGTCTTCTAGTCTTTTGAAATCGGCTTTAGTGAAATTTGCAATTAATTAAGAGATTTTATGTCGTTTTACAATTATTTTAAACAAAAGTATCTCACTGGAATGGAATGAAAATACTACGTAAAAGTTTTCATTGGAACTACGAATCGTAACTATTATTTAAAAGTTAATAAAGAAGTTACAAAATGAAGAATTATTTCACAAAGTTGCCAAAGTTGTATTTAGTTTATAAAATTAATTTCCTAAGGCCATCCAATATATCCCAACTTTTTATTTATTTAAGTTTTTAATATTATCTTGTTATTTAAAAGCTTCTTAAAGCACAAAAAAAAAAACTTAAAAGATTTTCATGCAACACCCACGTGTGGTATTGTCTTCTTGTTGACCTCGGTGCTTCTACTAGACCTTATTAATTAAAACAGGCCTAAACATCATAGATATGTATATGTGTAGTATGGGTCTATAATACCGAATAGTACTCTTGTTGGGTCAAGTTGTGGACACACACACACGGCAAGAGAAAGGCAAATAAGCGGCCAATAAAAATATTATTAATACCAACGCCAACGACAACACACGAATATTTCACAAGCACTGAAAGAAAAAAAACATGCCAGTGACCAGAGCTTATTATCATTATTCTATTTAGATAGCACTTATCAAAATTAAAGGGGGGGACTCTATCACTCTATCCTCGTGGCTGTCCCCCCTTCGCTAGCTGTTGACGCCAAATGTTTGATCTGATAAAATGAATGATGTATAATTTATTTCTTGCCGTGCAACCCCAACCACCCTCCCTCTAGTTGTCCATGTGTCCGTGTGTCCGTGTGTCCGCTTGTCCGGCCAAAGGGAAATTAGCAGCAGGAGCACATCGACGATCACCCATCAGCCATCACGAGCTGTGTGTGTTGGGTGTGTTTTAGCCATAAATTTATTAACTTAGTGTCACATTTATAGCCACTCGTCTAACCGCCAACACCACATAGTGTCCAAGGACCAAGGACGAATTTGCAAAGGGGGTGTATGGGTATGGGGGGGTAAGGTAGGAAGTTCTAGAGGATATCCTTTAAAATTCACTTCAAAATTCGCTGACCAAACGCAAATTTATGAACCAAATGATAGGTGGCTGGGAAGTGTCAACTATTTTCACAGTTTTTGTTAGGAATTCTTAATTATTTTTCGGAATTTTAAACTATATAACTTTTAATAAAAAAAAGAAAACTAAAAAGAGAATATGTGCTTTGGAATTTGGGATTTTTAGTTTTAAAGGCTGTTTTTTTTTTGTAATCATAAACTTTAAAATTACTTTAAATGAATATAAAGTAATAAATAAAGTTGTATAATTTCCTGGAATAATTTGGATATAAATATTCCATGAAAACTATGTAATTGCTTCGAGGCATGTAAAGTTTTGTTTTAATTTTTAAATATAAAATTCTAATCAGAAAACTAAAGTGGATAGACTTAACATTTATTAGAATAAGAAACCTTGAAACTTTTATAGCTTTAAGCAGGACATTATGAAAATAAATTAGAACTAAAATAAGAAATAAACTAAAATAGGAGTTTGAAAGTACTTTTTAAATAGTTTTTGAAATTATTTGACTATTCTTTTTTAGAAAAAGAATACTATTAAGGATAGAAACAAATATTAACAAATAAAATGGAAATATGAACAAGAATTCTCGGACCTTAAAGACCTTACACCATTTTTTTGAAGAGCCTAAAAGTAGATAGTGAAAAAAGACAAAGCCCAAAAATTTAAAATTTTTTAAAAAAGTTAAAATTTAATAGGATAATTTTCCATTTTAAGAAATTTAATAACTTCTATAATAACATCTTCTTTAAATTCTTCTTTAATAACTTCGACTTTGTTTAAAAATTAAAACCTAAACTAAAATAAAGCCTCAAAGTTAAAATTGAATTCTTAAACACCTAACAAATAATTCATTAAAGTTCCAAAAAAACAAAAAAAAATAGAATCTAATTCAATTTAGATTCCCTAACGCTCTTGTCACCTTTGGCGTGGGGATGATAGCGGGGAAGTGATAGCCTTATCCCGGGATTACTGAAGCGATTTGGGACTAAGTCCGAGCATATTTAAGGTAATACCCGAATATCCTGCCAAGTCTGGCTCATTTGTCAAGTTGGCTTAGACGAGGTGGGCTTAAAGAGCCCCAAAAATCCAAAAAAAAAAAACAAAAACAGGAAACTTGCATTTATTTTGTTTCTGCCCCTCCGTACGAATCCTGAATCATTAACCATGCACCTGTTGTTTGCTGCTCTGATTACCTCAAAAATGATGAAAGACAGTATGTAGGGGGTGAGCGGGGTTACAAATTGGTTCGGTTCGAATGGATCGAATGGTATTAGGCCACAGACTGGGGACCCACAGTGTTATCGGTGGACAAACAGATGTGCCCCCGGAATCAATTTCCCACCATATTCTGGGATGCAATAACGAGTGGGTGGTGGTGGGGGGGGGAGTGCCGATAAAAACCGTTGTTTAATCACCACAAATAACCAAAACACTTTCCGCCAAACACACAAACACACACACACACAGAACACATCACTGAATAGACCCATAATAAAAATTAACTTACATTAACAGTTAATAGAAGTCTCTGGATTATTATTTTTAGATGTCTTTGTTTTATTTAGTTTTTATTTATTTTGTTTTTAACACAAATCACTTGAAAAAAAAAATAATAAAAAAAACAATTCAACAAACGCGACTCGACACGAAAATACGAATTTGAATCTAACGGGATTCTATCGGCAAAAAGACGCACTTTGAATTTGAAACTGTTTTTGAAACTGTCTCCGTCGTAGGTTCTCTCTTTTGAGAAACGCTCTCACTCAGTATTTGGATATTAGTTCTCCAGTTCCTTTTTTTGGAGGGGGAGAAGGTTATCGTTCGCTGCCTCGCGACCAACTGAGCTCCAAAATGCAGAAGCGGCGGCATTTAAGCAGGTCCCGTAAACGCCGCAGAGCGGTGGGTGAGTTTTTTTGGTGGCATGCCTCCGCAGTAAGCCGGCCGTTCTGTGTAACGGTAAACAGCTGGCTGTGGAAGCTCAGTAAGCAGCTTTCGTTGGCATTTTTTCGCTCAACTGGCAGTGCTGTCAGCGGCGGTGAGCGGGAGAGCGTGTGAGAGCGAGAGCTTGAGAGAGCGCGAGCAAGGGCTTTGTTTACGAAAAAGCAGGCAAGATGCAAGCGGCAAAACTTTGACAGTTAGCCCAAAACCAGGGCTACCATATTAAAAGGGTATTAAAAATATAATAATTATTTGATACTCTATAAAAAGTAAATTATAGTTTTAAGTTAGCTAATAAAATCTGTAGTTTTTTTAAACCGTTTCACTTTTTTAGTGCAGCCCTGGAAAGTTTAATAAATATTTTTTTAATTAACAAAATATTTAACTACGTTTTTACTTTAAGCCCTTTATTTTAAGTCAGTCCTGAGATTCAAACCAAATTTGTTTTTTTTTTTGGTCACACGCGATTATCCGGCCACACAATACCCTCGATATAGTCCAGGAAGGCGGCAACCCTGGAATAGAGACCAGGGGTGGCACTGGCACAGCCAATACCCGCCGATATCACACCCTGGATGTAGTAGATGCTGTCCGTGATGTTCACCTCCTGGATGAGCGGGCCGCCGGAGTCACCCTGGCAGGCATCCTTCTTCTGCTGCCTGTCGGCGGCGCACATTTGCGACTCAATGATGCCCATTTTCAGGGACCTGGAGGACGTGGGCTGGTTGGCGAACGCCTCGTTGCATTTGCTCAGCGGAACCAGTTCCAATGGTGCTCGCAGCAGTACCGTTGAACGCGCCTTGGCTGCAAGGATAATGAAAGGATTAGGCTTTTTCCAGAAAGAACTAACTACTAACTTACTGGTGCGATTCACTTGACCCCATCCGGCCACATAGAGACTGGCATCCAGTGGCGGATCACGGATATCGGTGTTCAGGCAGGCTGGTCTTATAATATCGTTCCTGGGCGCCGCTTCCGCCAGCTCCAGGATGGCGATATCGTAATACTTGCTGAAGCTGACATAGTTTGGATGTATCAGCACGTTGTTTACGTTGATGTCCACATAACCCCGGTCGGGTTCATTCAGATTAACGGCTCCCAGCCGGACGAAGGCCGGCCTGAATTCTTCGCTGATGCAGTGGGCCGCCGTCAGGACATAGCGATCGTCTATCAAGGATCCACCGCACCGATACTCGGTCGTTCCGAAACTGTTGTAAGCTATGGCAGCCATATGGGGATATACGCCCAATCCCACACGGACCCCATCCAGGATACGGTCTCCAAGGGGCAGAGTATCACCTCGAATTTTTCTGCAAGCTAAAGAAGTATATATTAAGGATATATATTTAGGATATTAAGGGTATATAAGCCTCTATACCTGCCACTGCCGGTCGCTCTCTGGTCTCCTGTCCTGTTGTAGAATTGGGCTTGGAAAACCTATCACTATCGAAAGAAATGAAATAAAATATTAGTATTAGGGATAATAGATCCTTTTGCCTGAGACAGAGAATGCATGCGGCTCCCTGGCTGAGGCCAACTGATGTTCACATGCCATTAAGAAAGAAATCAGATCTGAGACAAACCCCGAAGACTCCGGCTTTCGGTCTTCGCCCCGAAACTGGAAGGGCTTAAAGGGATCCATTGTTTCCGTTGGCTGGGTGACAGGAACTGGAACAGGGACGTTGACAGGAGCAGGAACTTGGGTGGGAACTGGAACCTGAACAGGAGTCTTAACGGGAACCTTGACTGGAACCTGAACAGGAACCTGCGGCTTAACTTCCCGCGCTTTTTCAATTTCCATGCCTTGCTGCCGCAATCGATCGTTCACCAAATGTATCAGATTATTGTCTCGGTTATTGGACATGGACTCCCCTTGAGGTTTCCTTGAACGGGGCGTGGTGAAGGGACGATTTATTATCCTGGGCTCGGGGCTATTCCATTTCCAGTGGCCGGAAGTCCGTTCTGTGTTGGTACTAATCGGTATCGTGTTTGGCGGAGCTATTTCCCAGTGACCCACACTCTGGGTGGGCATTTTCAGGGACTCGTGGGTCTTTTGTGGCCTGATGGTGGTTCCCAGGAGCTTATTGAAATCAAAGAAGACTTCATTCTCATCCAATCGGGGTTCTCTCGAACGCTCAGTGGTCGTGGAAGTGGTGGAAGTACTGGATGAACTGGTGGTTCTGACAGTACTGGTAGTTGTTGTGCTACTACTACGACTATAAGGGGTTAAAAGATATTAGTCTAGTCGCGTTATCGATAATCGGAGGAGGCATGCAACATCAATGGCACTTGCTCGGGGGGGACACACACAAAAGCACATACAGGACAGGACACACAGGCTTACTCAGTGGATGGACAACAGGCGACAATGGGACAACAAATGATCTCCTCGCGTAATCCGTAACCGCAACTGGGCACCTCACTGGTGGACAAGGCCCCCGATCTTATATATCCATCGACGTTCAAGCAATTGGAGGAGGCCCGACATATACCCGGTATATTGGGCTTTACCTTGCATTCATCACCCTCTGAAAAATATTAAATAATATAATAATCTTAAATCCTCTAAGAAGATATATGTTTCTGGGTTCCTTACCATCTCCAAATGCCACTTGACTGGAAAAACTGCAGATGAGTACACCAAATAGGAACCAATTTCTCTTCAAGTCCGCGGGCATTTTCGGTCAACTGAAGTTTTTAGAAAATAAATCAATAAATAAAAAGCTTTAAATTAAAGAATATAAAGAATAAAGATAATATAATATAAAGAATACCTCTTTTTTATGGTATTCTCTCTCTAGAAAACCAAACAATAAAATAGTCTAGTATTATGTTCTGTTTACACAAATAAACAAAAAAACCTTAAGCTGATATTGCGAATTGCCATTGACCTACTTTTTAAGTTTTTTTTTTATATTTTTTATACATAGACAGTGTGAAATGAATATGTTCTATAGAAAAGCTTAAGATTTTATTTTAAAATAATCTTAAACATTTTAATAACGGTTATAGGTAAAAAAATTGGAAAATAAGAGGAAATTTATTAAGAAAAAGCAATTGTTTGGTCAAGTTTTCTATTTTTTTTAGTATATTTAAAAGATAATCTATTATTAATATTAATATGTATTCTTTCAGTCAATAATTATATTAATTTAATTTGTTTAAGCTTGTAAGAGGGAATTTCTTTAACAAAAAGCACAGACATTGTAAGATTTTATAATAGTTTCCAAGTGTATTTCCGAAGGGACTTCTCTATAAGTAAAATTCTATTAGTTATTATTAAAATTTCGTTACGGTAATCTACAATTATCATAACAGTTCTCAATAAATTTAAAAAAATAAATATATATTGTCCGACTAATAGTGACATCACGGGCTTTTCTATTCGCAAGTAATTGAGGTATGCGATCCGTTTAAATGGCTTCCGGCCGAAGCCCGAGCCGGGTAATGCCCATTTTCCCCCGTGTAAATCACAAACGGAAGCTGACCAACAAAACAACACAATCCGGAGCATGTAATACCTCCCCCCCTATACCATATGTATGTATATATACATAATATAATTATTATATTTGTTTTTTGGTCCATTTTTGCGGCTTATCGAACGCACCTTTGACACGACCCGTTTCGGTTTTAATTTTTTGTTTTTTGTGTTATTTTTTTTTTTTGATAACGTCTAAAGGAATACGTATACGTAGTGTGACTTCTTCTAGTACACAACAAGCCAAATATACAAAAAAAAAATATTAAGCAAAATAATAAAGAATCACCAAAAAAAAAACCACAAGGCACAAACAAACAAAAAAAAAAAACAGATTATAAACCGGTGGCTATCGCTCTGGTCAAGAAGACAACGACTATATCACGACGAAATGGACTAATGGACTAATGGACAGACGATACTGAGATTCCGAGAATCCCTGACCGCTCAGCAACGCTTCGTCCAAGCAACTGACTAAACACTGAAGCCCCCAGAGCCACCAGACAGCCGGAGACGGAGCTTGGGAGCTTGGCAACTCTTGGGAAGAAGAGCCCGAGGTCCCCTGATGCCCCCATAACACCACAAGTCCCCAAAGCACCGGACGGTAGCTGAGCAGCAGCTGATAGCGATCACAGCACCCAGATCTTCCATCTACCTCGACTGGCTCTCCCGCTGAGCACGAACCGGTTTTGTTACCCCAACCGATACAAGTCGCTCATAAAAAGCAACCATTCTGGGTAAGGGTTCGACTACGTGTTACCCTAAATTTTAATATTTTATTTTGCAATATTTTATTAAATAAAAGTTAATTGGAGTTCGATTACTTTTCCCCCAAAATGAGTATTTATTTTACCTTTTTTTTGCAACCAAATTTAAGTTTTAACATCTCTTTTGTTGGTTTTGGAAATCACAGATTTTTGTATAAAATTTTAAATAAAATTAAAATTTCTTGCCAATTTCTTAGTTTTGTTTTTGTTGCACTAGCTCCATATGTATACTACTTCATTATACCCGATCATCGGGCCACACAATGCCTTCAATAAAATCCAAATAATTAGCCACACGTTGGTATAGTCCCGGGGTACTGGTGGCACATCCAAAACCGGAGGTTATTACCCCCAAAATCGAATAGATGCCATCCTCGATGTTGATCTCGTGAATGAGGGGGCCGCCAGAGTCGCCACTGCAGGCGTCCTTGTGCATCGCTGTGGCACAAATCAGGGTATCGATGATGCCCTGTTTAAGGGCCTTAATCGAGGCAGGTTGTGCCGCAAAGGAGATGTTGCACTGGTTGAGGGGAACCACTTCCAGGCCAGCCCTCAATAGGATTTTTGATTTGGCCCGAGCTGGGGATTAAAATATATGAATATTATCCTCGTAATGAGGTTAAAACTCAGTGACGAAATATCTCACTTGTACTATTTACGACACCCCAGCCGGCCACAAAAAGTCTCGAATCCAGTGGAGGATCACGAGGATCCGTGTAGAGACATGCGGGTCGAATATTATTGGTTTCTTCCACATCCTGGGATAGCTCTATTACAGCAATATCATCATACTTACCGCCCACATAATTTGGATGAACTGTTACACTTTTCTGTGAAAAAGATAGGATTACTAATAGTTTTCGCCAAAATACGATTAAATACAATTACCACACTAATATCCCTATTATTTCGGTCCGGATTCTCAATGTTCACCGAACCCAAGCGAACATAAGCCGGCGTGTTCGCCTCCGTATTCACACAATGGGCAGCGGTTAGGACAAATCGGCTACTGATCAAGGATCCACCACATCGATAGTCAAAGGTACCGAAACTACTATAGGCAATGGCGGCCATGTGAGGATAAATTCCCGGTTCGACCGGAACTCCGCCCACAATGTGAATGGTTAGTTGATTTTGACGGACTTTCGTCCTAAGTCTTTTGCAAAAAGTCACCGAAGGGCGTTCGTTTGTGGGGACATCCACCCTGGAAATGGCACTAGGACGGAAAACGGTGGAAGTGGAGCTACTAGTACTGGGCGTCCATTCTTTGGGAGGAGAAGTGCTTGAAACGAAAGAAAAAAAACCTTGAATAAATAGTGGAATTACTAAAGCCTGAAGATAAATATCCTGAAATACGATAACGCCTTGCTTGATAGAAACGATAGAAACGGTCACTCTAATGCTAAAATTCAATCGGAATTAAAATTTAAAAACAAGACTGGACACATTGTAAATTGTACATTAATCTTACCCATTTGAAGGACAACATGGAACGGTGGGACAGCAAAATATTTCTCCCCAGGGCGTTAGACCGCAGGATGGCACATCATCGAGCTTGAGGACTCCCGACTTAATATAAGGATCGATGACAGGCTCACACTCTTCGGAGCTACGACAAATACCGGGAAGCTTATCCGTCACCTGGCAGGCATCGCCCACTAAGAAAAAAAATGGAAAAATAACTTCCAAACAATTTTCCAAAAAATTAAGAAAGACTTACATTTTTTATCAGCTTCAATGACAAAACAGGAGATAAGCAGTGAAAAATATAAAAGATAAAGGAAAATAAATTCCAAACAATTTTCCCAAAAAAAAATAAAGGAATACTTACGTTTTTTATCAGCTTCAATGGAAAAATCAATGTAGATAAGCAGGGAAAAATATAAAAGATAGTATTTCTCCAAATTCATGATGGTAAATATTGAGATTGGGTTCTGGCAATATTAAATATAAATTAATATAAATAGGGATCTTAAAAACTTAAGTAATTAATTAAATTATACTAAGAAACTTTAAACTGATAACAAAAGAAAATAATGTATACATTATTGTAATGGATTTCACTCTGAATAAAAACAAATCAAAACAAAACAAAAATAGTAGGAGCACAGAAAAAAAAATCGTATATGTAAAATAGCACACCAGATAATAGAACTCGGATTTCTCGGACCGATCAGAAACACATCTCTCAGACAACTGACACCCCGAATCGAATCAATATCTCATTGTAAAGCCGGATCCGGTAGAAAAAACTGCGCTCTCTGTAAAATCCAACCGGTTTTCGAAAATAAAAACAAAACTAGCATAGACTTAGTTTTTCGATCAGAGAACTGACTGACACACTGACAGACTCACCAGCTATATTGGATGTCATTCTCAGTTTATTGGAACGGAGTGAAGTTTATTATGCATTTTGTTAGATCACCCATTGATATAAAAGTGTATATACCCCGGTCCATGAGGTAACAATCCAAGGGTACAAAAAGGTAAACAAAATACAAGTAATGACTCACACGTGTTGCAGAAATCCGGGGACCTGGAATCTGGTCATTTTTATTAAACGTTTAATTTATGCGGCAAGAACGTAAACTAAGAACACGAGAAGTGCATAAAATTGTTTATTTATTTAAAGGAATAATTTGGAGGAATATACTAAACATATTCAATGGAAACCTTTTAAAACTTGAATTTTACTGAAAATAAAAAAAAAATATTAGGAAATTAAAGAAGAATAATTGTAGCTTGCTAACTTTAATTCCTTAACTTAATATTATGTTTGCGCCAATAATTTGAATTTGGACTCACCTCTGTACATAACAGCACTGTTAGATTTTTCACCAACCGATATAGATTATCGATAACTGCATTTGTAAAGATATAGAGAGCTTAATGGTAATTTAATAAAATTTAAAGCTTACTCTAAAAAATTTAAAAATATTTTACAATTATTAGCTTTTAATTTAATTTAAAAACAACCGATAGTTTATATGAGCAAGGCCTCATTTTCCAATGAATCTGGTAACTCTGTGCGTATAATTCAAAAAAGTACATTTGAAAACCCCTTTTTATCAAAGAAACCTCTTAAATTAACTAATTTAAGATTACTAAAAACCCCTTCCACAAAATAAAAACCCTTCCACGCCCTTTTTTGTATAATTACACCAAAGATTTATTGTCAAAATCATTACACAAAAAAAGGTATTATAATTATTAAATAAACAAAAAAAAAACAGTTAAAGGATGATGATAGTTGTTGTGTTTTTTTTTTTTTGGTTTTTTTCGTGTTAAATGCGACAAAAAAATAATTAATTATTTATACTATTTAATAGATTGAGTGTGTTGTTGTTTTTTTTTTGGGGGGGAAAGAGCAGGTTTATTATTTGTTTAATATTATCAAATATATTACTGTATAAACCGGTGACTATCACTTGCCAACAAGTAAAGAGGGTGGTGGGGCTGTATTTATGGATAAGTGTCCGTTCTGTGTAGCTTATTTTTTACGGTGTACAGTATGTACTGTCCTTCATCTGGTCCTCGGCTGGAGCCGGATACGGAAACCTTCCTCTCGCTTCAGGATAATGTCCGCCTGCAGCTTGAAATCCGATTCACTCAAATCCGAATAGACACGGTAGTTCCGCAAAATGGTCGACAAAAGGATCTTTAACTTTAGCATTGCATACTTGCGGCCTTTTTAAATAAATATTTTTACATTTTTAATATTAACTTATATAATAGTTTAGTAAAATAGTTTCGTAAAAATACTTACCCACACAGCTACGGGGTCCCGCCGAAAAAGGTACAAATGCGTAATAGTGTCGATTGGCTTGACGTTCCGGCAAAAAGTTGTCCGGATCGAAGACATTCGGATTGGCATAGACCTTGGGATTACGATGGAGCAGGACGGTGGCCACAGTCACCGTGGCGCCACGTGGAATCACATAATTGCCGGAGTTCAGCTTAAGGTCCTCCTGCAGTTCGCGGGCGATCAACGGTACCGGGGGATACATTCTCAGGGTTTCCATCAGACAGCGTTCCAAATATTTCATTTCTAGTGTGTCCTGGTATGGAATTTTGGAGAAATATTATAGGAAATTATTGGGAAACTTCAAAAATGCCTTTAACTCTATAAGAACTCTATAAACCTCTTTAAACTAGCTTCTAGTAAAAATCTGTCCGTGAGTTTAAAAGCCTGTATTTTAAAAACTATAAAGTCCAGAGCTGTCAAGCTTAAAAATTAAAATAAGCCAATAAGCTTTAAGCCATGTCCCTTCAAGCTTAAGCTAAATCCCCCAAAACACTTACCTGAAACGTGGCTGGTCTCTGAGAGTCACCGAAAATCGAGTCCAACTCGGCCAGAACACGATCCTGTATCTCCTGATGTATGCCCATCAAGGACAGGAAAAATGATGATCCTGCAGCCGTCGTATCGTGTCCTTCAAACATAATGGTGTCCACCTGCTCCTTGATCTCCGTGTCCGTTATCAAAGCCCCATTCTGGGCACTTTCCAGCATCAGATCCAAAAAGGCCAGACGCTTCTTCTCACCAATATCGTTGTCCTCCACATCCAGATCGTCCTTGAGACCAGCCGACTGGCCATATGAAAGTCCTGCCACTGGAGTGACCGCCTCACCATTCGTAGCTGGTGGATTCGCTCCGGCATTATCCTGTTCCTGCTGTTCCCGCTCCAAAGCCGCCGCTTTGAGTTCGCACTGGGCCAAGGATCCACGGGTGCCCTGCTCGAAGGCAGCCTTCTTGCTTTTTATCACCTTGGTGGTCAGGCCGTGGATAATGTTCAGCAATCGTCCCTGCTCCTTGTAGTAACGGGTGAGGGTGAAGATGAACTCGTTCCGCAGAAAGAAGCTGCGATGGCGGGCGTGCAGGATATCACACATTCGCATCACCGCCATGGCGTACTCGAATCCAGATTTATCCTGCGTCTTTTTCGATACTCCCATTGCAGTCTCTGTTTATGGAATGAGAACAAATATCATTATTTATAATTATAAATAATTTTTTTTTGTGATTTTTATTATTTAAAAAATATCATATCAAGACTATATGATACCTCCTACTTCATTAGCAATTTGCCAAAAAAAAACTCAGCATAATTCGGATTTTTTTCAGTGAAAATGTGGGGCTTGGAGATTCGGAGATTTGGCGATGGGCCTCCCAGTACAAATGGGGGGAAGTGGAATGCACTCGCCTGACCCAAGCGCCAATTGAACTTAACAAACAGACAACAGGCGGCGGTGACCCTCCTTGTCCCTGAGTGCCCCCCCTTCCTGTCCATCCATCCGTCGGTCCATCCGTCTGTCCATCCATACATCCATCCATCCGCCATCCCCGGACTGTCTAATTGTAGATACAATGCATAAATAGATCTATAGATGACAACATAAACGACCAGGTCCGCGAGCCTCACAGCAAAATGTATACCGTGCTGTGGGAAAAGTTCGCTCAGGGAATTTTCGCTCAAAAATTAGTGCATTGGAGGTTTTTAAGGTTTTGGGCTTAAATGAAAAATTATTTAAGTAAAAAGTAAGGCAACAAAAATTAAAAAAAAATAAGGAGCTTCTTAAGAAATGCATAAATACAATTATAAGCTAAATTTTTGAATTTATTTATTAAAATTACATTAAATTATCAAAATTAGGTTTCAGCCTATCCTATTGTGAATCATTTTTTCAAAAAGTGGCAACCTTTTCTAACATCTTTTGAATTGTTTGTTGTTTTATCTTCAACATTTTCAATCTTTCAGGCGCCATTAAAAAAAAACTTTAAAATAAATGTATGCTAGTAAAAAAATAAATATTCTAACAAGAATTCCTTCAATTTATTTTATTAATTTCTTGTAGGGTTATATTTCCCTCATTGAAAACTAGAAAGGAAAAACGTAGAATCAAAATAATGTAATTAAATTAAAAGGAATAATTAAACATTTATGAAAACATTTATGCTTCTAAAGCTCTCCAATTTATACTAAAAGATCGTTTTAAAACCTAAATGAGCAAAAAAGACGCTTCCATTCATTTATAAATTTTCCATTTCCATTCATCTGGCGGGCAATAAGACAACCTGACATTGGGTTTTCCTGTCTATTTTTCGTTTGTATTTTTGTGTTTTGTTGACTTTCTTAAATTGCATATTTTTCGCAGTTTTTCCAGGTCTTAATTGCTAATTGTCCGGGTTTGCGTCAGAGTCAAAATCAGACCCCATCAAGCCACAAAAAAAAAGAAAAGGAAAAAAAAACTGAAATTAAAAAATGAAAACACGGCGGCGGCAGTTGCATTCAAATTTTCCTGATTAAACGCTTAATGGCAATGCGACGTGCCTTTAATTACTCAGCCCAGCCCCATTTTTTTTCATTTTTTAATTTAAGTTTTTCCATTTTTTGTTTTTGGTTTTTTAGCAATCTTGGCTGCATTTCAATTGAAGGCAACTTGGATTATGCAATAGCCTAGAAATCAATCCGAATGCAGTTCGCAAAAAATGCAATAGTTAGTCCACAATGTCATTAACATTGGCCGCCTTCCAAATGCTCCAAAAGTGCCTACCAAATGGTTTCACTTTTTTTTTACAGTGCCGCCCAGTGCCAAGACGTGTTTCTTGAGCAAATCACCCAGACAGGGTGGGGGTGGCTTCTAAATGGTTTTTATGGCCAATTTTGTTGGCCAAAATGTAAGCCTATAACCTTCACTTATTTGCCTACATATTTTTAAGTTGCCATAAAAATGAATAATTTAAGAACTAATAAAATATAATATTATATTAATTTATTATTTGTTTTACTGGTATTTAAAAAAATTCGATCAAACCAACACATTAAACCCCTCTTGAAAATTTGAGTTTCATGAAACTAAATGAATACTTTAACTAATCATCTAAAAATCCACCAAAAGTCCTTGAAATCCTTATAAAAAATATCCCCCAAATTAGACAATAAATCATGAATGAATAGCATTACAAAGACAGTCATCTGGTGGCTTCCATTAATTTTAATTTCGTAATTTTTTTGTAACCAAGCCACATGATCGTCTTGAGAGCAGTTTTTTGTTGTCAAATGGCTACATAATTTGGCGGATTTTGAGGCAGGAATATCATATATGTATATATCAAGTCCGATAGGTGTACATGATATGATATATGTATATCTTTTGTGTCCATTAAGGGGAGAGCACAACAAAAGCGAGTACAGAAATTTTTGATTTGTTAGTATATAGGGAAATGGGTCTGAGCTCAATTGTGTGTGTTTTGGAGGGCTGGCAAGGGGGATCTATGCCCCCTATATATACTATATACATAATATCTGGTATTTGGGGATTAGGTGACTCGGACACACGCATCCGAATACAAAAACGCTAATGGGTATTATGGGGAATGCGTGTGAGTTGACTGTACTTTTGTGTGTCTCTCCAGTGTTTATATATTTGTGCGTATATCTATATAGTTTTTGATTGTATTTTATACATATTTTATACATATATATGGATAAATGTATAGGTATCACTTACCCAATAGAATCTCCACTGTTGCCTCGCTCATGTAATCATGGCAATCAAAAGTGCGACCATCCTCCGCACGCAGTTTCCGCACCACATTCCGCGAATTCTCGTTGAAGAGCTCGATGAAGCTCTTCAGGACGTTCAAGTGGAATGTGGGTGCGATCAGTTTGCGGTGCGAACGCCATTTTTGACCTGCAATTCACAACAAAATATATGAAATATATAAACTTCAAAAAATCAGACCAAAATCGGAGGTTAATTTAAGGAAATAGTAGGTATTTTAAAAGTAAAGGTTGAGTAATATGTATCTTATTTTATAAGAGCTTGGAAAATCTCGTACCAAAACTAAATGAATTATTCAAAATAAATTAAGATCAAATGTAAAAAAAATGATTAAAACTCATATTCACATAAACAGAATCGTATACTTTATTTATGTTTTTTATTAAAATTTTTAACGCTGCTTTAAAAATTAGGTATTGAGATTTAGAAACAGCTACCTTGTATATTTTTCCCTTCTATATTCCAATTATCATTTTTGTTGACAAAAATAAATGGTTCTGACTTGTTTCATTTGGAATAAATAAAATTTATAATATATTAATAAAAAAGGTTGCCAGAAACAAAAAATATTAAATAAGAAAAGCAATAATACTAATTCTTTAAAATGGGAATTCGAAAATAGAAAACAATAAACCTGATAGGTGTTCAAGAGTTTAGACGGCAAAGCTTTTCTTCAAAAAGATACTTTAGTTTCTTCCCTATTTAAAAAAAATAATAAGTAAATATTTATTTAAAATATTTATTATTTTCTTTAAAAATATAAGGATATTATGATTTTTCTCGGTGAGTTTTCTGCGACGTTGATTTTATTTATAGCGGCATTGTTGTGCCAACTGTCAGGCTTGTGGATCGCTTGATTAATTTATGATTCCGCAAATTGCATTAGTGGCAAGTGGCGGTTTGATGGTTCGGTAGCTTGGTGATGCGGTGGTGCCACCCTCCCCCAGTATTCCCCCCACCTCGATCCCCCTCACCTGTACTGATCAGCAGTCCATCCCCCAGCCACGGCTTGAAGAACTTGTACTCGGAGGCCTTGTCGATGTAGACGTGACTGCTGAGGAGTAGCTCCACGTCCCGGGGATCGTAGATGAACACCACCAGCTTGGGGCCGATCCACATCTTGGCGATGTGCTCGAAGGGGGCGCTCTTCCGGATGACGGTTCGGAAAACGGCTGCAGGAGAGTAGATTCAATTATTTAGTGTTTATACTACTAAACTACTTTAAAAATATTTTTTTTTAAAGCCAAAATAAAGATTTTTAAAAAGAAACTTATGCTTAGCAAGATTATAGAAGTTTCTATTTTAGTTTCTAGTTTTTATTTTTGAAGTTATTTTGAAGTGGAAATAAATAATTTTCATGCACTATTTTTTCTTGTTATTTAATAAGGTTTGTTATTTAATAAAGGTTTCTTAATAATTTTGACAAATTCCAAAAAAACTTTATGATGATTTCGTTTCAAATATATATAAATGTAATAAACGTATTTCAAATACGATTTCTTTAAGATAAAATAGAAAGTTAATGTTTAATAAGCATTTAAAGGAGATATTTGCATGAAAATGTTTTTCATTATTTAAATATAGTTTTTTAGAAAGTGTTTTTGAATATTGAATTGTTTATCTCTGTTAGTTATTAAATATTTTTGATTGGCTTGTGGAAATTTACACGAAGCGGGTCCTATGACGTCGAAGAGGTGGCCCACGATGGGCAGGCCCCGTGGTCCCGGGAGGCGGCCAGCCAGCCTGTACAGGTGGGCCCGCGAGAGGCGCCAGTAGATGTACCAGAGCACCAGGGTTGGCAACAGCAGAAAGTAGAACATGCTGCTGGGCGAGCCCAGGGTTGCATCCTTTTTCAGAACTTCCATTTTCTTTTTTTTTACAAGGATCTCCTCTCTCTTTTGCTCTCACTCTCGCTCGGTCTTGCTTACTCGCTGTCTCTGTCCTTGTTTTGATATCTCTTTTATTTTCTTTTATTTTTAACTTTAATTCACCAGTAAAAAAATATTAAAAAAAAAGGAAACACCACAAACACAAGACCCGAAAGTATCGGGTATGAATCACTTTTTATGTTTTTTTTTTGTGTTATTTGATTATCAGCTATCCATGCGGGCTGGATCTTAAAAATAAAATTAATTTTATATTGAATTATGATCGAATCGGATTAGATCGGATCGGATTGGATCAGATCGGGGCCAGATCAGATCGGATCAGATCGGATCGGATCGGAACGGTGGACCGGATGCTACTCGCTGCTCGTCCAGCGCTCGACTAATCGGAGATGTCCCCTCGCCGGGGCAGCCAACAAAAAAATCAGAATCACAATCACAATCAGAATCAGAATCGCACAAAATCAACCCACACACTCACTCCCTCACTGGACACTGGATAGTTGGATACCGAAAAAAAAAAAATTATAAAAAATAAGGGAACAACTATAAGGCGATACAGATACAGATACAGTACAGTTACAGATACAGTTACTGATACAATTACAGATACAGATACTCGTATATAAATCACAAACGATGGACCCACGTCCCACACTTCGCGCTCCCTTCACAGTTTTCCGACTACCGACTGCTCACGGTGCGAACGACTTTTATAGCCAACAATGTGCACTATACACTGTAAAAAATATATATATTTTATATAGAATATATAAAAAAAAAAGAGAAAAAACGGAAAAAATAAAACGGATATTTAAAGGTTTTTAGAGTATGAGCAACCCATAAGACCCTGAAACTATACATGTACTTCTAAAATAAATCAAAATATTCATACCCGGTACTCACAGAGTCAAAGGTTCAAAAAAAATGCAGAAGGAAATAATTTTACAATATAACTTGTTTAGCATTAAACTCAACACAGATGGATATCCAAATCCCTTTATTTTTCCCCTACTGTACTCCAAGTAATAATCAGAGGAAGCCTCTTAGGGGTCTTGCACAGAATCGGATAATGTGAACCGCCCTCGAAAATCTCTGTTCTTTCTAAAGCTTTCAGAGAAAGTAGAAGCCTCACCATGAAATTTAGTTAAAGCTACTTTAGCTTTTAAGCAAAGTCGATAAAAACCTACTAAGCTTAAAGTTGGTTTTAAAAATAAGCGTAATCTTTCTATAGAATAGTTGAAAATTTAATAAAAATACATGAATAACAAAGTGTAATTCTGAAAGTCTTTTTTCCGATTTATTTTTAAGATGACATTTATGCAGATAGTTTATAATAGTATGGACAAGTGTTACAATTAATATTACTGGTAACTTAACTTTACAGTTCCTCAAAAAAAAAATTATTTTAATTTAAAACTAAGACTAAGAATATTAAATTATTTTTTTTTGTGGTTTTCCGATTTATGTTTTTGTTTGCTGATCTCAGTACGTATGAGCAATATGATTATTGCCTAGACATTTTGACTATATAATAGCTATAAGTACGGACACTGACTTATGGAAGTCTGGCAGTGGTACGCTCTAGCCAGTGTCCACTGTACCCATGGATGAAGCGGAAGCCTAACTACATTTGATATTTTTTCTTCATGATATTTTTTCATTTTTTTTTCCACCAAACGCCCACAAGTATGCTACGGAAGCCCTTTCCTCTTTCTATTTTTTGCTGATTTATGTATTTTTTAAATTAGTATTATTATTTTGGTTTTTAGACAGACGACTCGTAGATGACAATTTGCAGGACCTTTGGTTTGTTATTTTGCGCCTCCTTGACTTCTTTTAATATCGCGTTTGTGATTGCCTCCAAGGCAGCAATATCGGGACTGTGTTCGTTCTTTTTGTTCGTATTCCACTTGGGCATGGATACCTAAAAAATATAATTTTATAATTAAGAATATTCAAAATTTAGTCAAACATTTGATTTAAATTGTTTTTACCGTCAAGACCTTCTGTAGAGCTGTATAATCCAGACCTGTGCCGGCAGTTTCTCCCAAACGTCGTAGAGTCTCCGCCATGGGTCCAGATAGTTCCTAAAAAATATTTATTAAAAAATTGTAAGGTATATATATAATCTGTTATATTTACCTGCAATTTGGCCCAACTGGTGGCATATTGTCGTCTCACCAACTCAATAATAGTCGATGTCAAGGCTAAGCCAATCAGAATATACAAGGTACACAACAGCATGTAGTTGGGTTTCTCTAAAAAAGGGTTTAAAAACAAATTAAATAAATTTAGTAATTCAGTAACAAACAATACCTACTTGGTACCAAATCACCAAAGCCTATAGTCGTCATTGTAATGAAACAAAAGTAAAAGCCATCGAAGAAGGTCCAGTCGTCTTCCCAAAGCAGAAGAAGGCCCGCTCCGGCGGCCAAGTAAACGCCCAGGAAACACACGGCCAGAATGGCGTAGAACCAGGTCTTTCCAATAAAATTGGTAAACTTAGGCTTGGCTAAGAAAATATTAGACAAGGTGAGCTTTTATCAAAGGAAAATACACAACAATGCAAGCCTATGAATAATATGTATCTATGTACCTATATGCGAATGCATGGATCCTCCAGAAAATTTGAGAAAAAATTCAAAAAAAATTTGCTTCCTAGATTTTGATGCTGATTTATAGAGAATCGTCCTAGAAAGCGTTTAAGGTATTCCGCTTAAGAATCGGATGAAAATTGGCAAAGTTATACCCTTCACGGTGGGCCCTATAGAGCTCCTTATGCCATTTTCAATTTTTGAAGGGGATCCTCCAGAAAATTTGATAAGAAATTCAAAAAAAATTTGCTTCCTAGATTTTGATGCTGATTTATAGAGAATCGTCCTAGAAAGCGTTTAAGGTATTCCGCTTAAGAATCGGATGAAAATTGGCAAAGTTATATCCTTCACGGTGGGCCCTATAGAGCTTCTTATGGCATTTTCAATTTTTGAAGGGGATCCTCCAGAAAATTTGAGAAAAAATTCAAAAAAAATTTGCTTCCTAGATTTTGATGCTGATTTATAGAGAATCGTCCTAGAAAGCGTTTAAGGTATTCCGCTTAAGAATCGGATGAAAATTAGCAAAGTTATACCCTTCACGGTGGGCCCTATAGAGCTCCTTATGCCATTTTCAATTTTTGAAGGGGATCCTCCAGAAAATTTGAGAAAAAATTCAAAAAAAATTTGCTTCCTAGATTTTGTTGCTGATTTATAGAGAATCGTCCTAGAAAGCGTTTAAGGTATTCCGCTTAAGAATCGGATGGAAATTGGCAAAGTTATACCCTTCACGGTGGGCCCTATAGAGCTCCTTATGCCATTTTCAATTTTTGAAGGGGATCCTCCAGAAAATTTGAGAAAAAATTCAAAAAAAATTTGCTTCCTAGATTTTGATGCTGATTTATAGAGAATCGTCCTAGAAAGCGTTTAAGGTATTCCGCTTAAGAATCGGATGAAAATTAGCAAAGTTATACCCTTCACGGTGGGCCCTATAGAGCTCCTTATGCCATTTTCAATTTTTGAAGGGGATCCTCCAGAAAATTTGAGAAAAAATTCAAAAAAAATTTGCTTCCTAGATTTTGTTGCTGATTTATAGAGAATCGTCCTAGAAAGCGTTTAAGGTATTCCGCTTAAGAATCGGATGGAAATTGGCAAAGTTATACCCTTCACGGTGGGCCCTATAGAGCTCCTTATGCCATTTTCAATTTTTGAAGGGGATCCTCCAGAAAATTTGAGAAAAAATTCAAAAAAAATTTGCTTCCTAGATTTTGATGCTTATTTATAGAAAATCGTCTTAGAAACCGTTTAAGGTATTCCGCTTAAGAATCGGATGGAAATTGGCAAAGTTATACGCTTCATGGTGGGCCATATAGAGCTCCTTATGCCATTTTCAATTTTTGAAGGGGATCCTCCAGAAAATTTGAGAAAAAATTCAAAAAAAATTTGCTTCCTAGATTTTGATGCTGATTTATAGAGAATCGTCCTAGAAAGCGTTTAAGGTATTCCGCTTAAGAATCGAATGAAAATTAGCAAAGTTATACCCTTCACGGTGGGCCCTATAGAGCTCCTTATGCCATTTTCAATTTTTGAAGGGGATCCTCCAGAAAATTTGAGAAAAAATTCAAAAAAAATTTGCTTCCTAGATTTTGATGCTGATTTATAGAGAATCGTCTTAGAAACCGTTTAAGGTATTCCGCTTAAGAATCGGATGAAAATTAGCAAAGTTATACCCTTCACGGTGGGCCATATAGAGCTCAATTTTTGAAGGGGATCCTCCAGAAAATTTTAGAAAAAATTCAAAAAAAATTTGCTTCCTAGATTTTGATGCAGATTTATAGAGAATCGTCCTAGAAAGCGTTTAAGGTATTCCGCTTAAGAATCGGATGGAAATTGGCAAAGTTATACGCTTCATGGTGGGCCATATAGAGCTCCTTATGCCATTTTCAATTTTTGAAGGGGATCCTCCAGAAAATTTGAGAAAAAATTCAAAAAAAATTTGCTTCCTAGATTTTGATGCTGATTTATAGAGAATCGTCCTAGAAAGCGTTTAAGGTATTCCGCTTAAGAATCGAATGAAAATTAGCAAAGTTATACCCTTCACGGTGGGCCCTATAGAGCTCCTTATGCCATTTTCAATTTTTGAAGGGGATCCTCCAGAAAATTTGAGAAAAAATTCAAAAAAAATTTGCTTCCTAGATTTTGATGCAGATTTATAGAGAATCGTCCTAGAAAGCGTTTAAGGTATTCCGCTTAAGAATCGGATGGAAATTGACAAAGTTATACCCTTCACGGTGGGCCATATAGAGCTCAATTTTTGAAGGGGATCCTCCAGAAAATTTGAGAAAAAATTCAAAAAAAATTAAAAAAAAAAAAAGATTTTAATGCAGATTTATAGAGAATCGTCCTAGAAAGCTTTTAAGGTATTCCGCTTAAGAATCGGATGGAAATTGGCTTAGTTATACGCTTGGGGGCTCATGCAACGATCACCATAGACCACCACTCTCTGTTATCTAGTGCTCCTTGTGCTTTGTTCAGCATTTGGAAAGACTTCTGCAAACAATTAATTTTATTAAATTAAAAAAAAAAATAAAATAATTAAATACTTATTAAGCTTAAGTACACCCATTGAGAATCGAGGAGGAGGGCGATGTTTTTTTTTATTATTTTAAATAAATTTTTTTGTATTTATTACTTTTTCAGCAACAAAATTTCAAATTGGCAACTATCGCTAGCCATCACTAGGGCAGTATAATTCCGCATGGGCCTGATTATTACTCATACGCCGTGTTGACGTACACATATAAAAAATATTCCAAATGAAGTATTCAATTTTATTCAATTGCCTATTGTATAATATATTTTATAACTAATATTTTGTATGTACTTACTTGGCATGTGTTTTCCGAAAACTGAAACCGCTGTTGCAAACAATCTGCCCCAGTCGGCGATCACTGTGAGAGTGAAGGGTATTCCGATGAGGGCGAAGCAAATGCAAAAAACCCGACCACCGGTAGTTACAGGCACAATATTCCCATAGCCTAGAAATAAATGTAAATATTAAATAATTTTGTTTAAAAAATAAAGTCTAACAAACCTATAGTGGTTAACACAGTTGATGAGAAGAACACAGCTTGAAGAATACTCCATCGCTCATATGGCTCTGGAAAGTCTTTATCGGCCACTATTAATAGTCCCCCCTCCGCAGCCTCTTGAACGGCCTTAAATAATTTTTAATATTAATTTTTTAATATTTAAAATTTATTTTTCAAAGTATATACCGCTTCATACTTAGCCAATTCAAAGGCTAAGAGTTCATTAAGATTATGCACCTCGGTGTTGTTTAAAATTGTGCTCATAAAACGCTCCCTTTGGGTCTTCACCACATCCTTTAAATGGTCCAGACGCTCCACTTCCGCAGGACGTTCTAAATGACGAAATATCTGAAGAAAAGATATGGAAAAAACTACTTTAACATCATGTAAAATTTGGGAATAATTTGTTATTTAAAATTCAAGACCCAAACATAGTTAATTTTCTGGAATTCCAGGAATTCCATTTGATTTTGAACTTTAGCCTTTTAGCCTTCACCCCCGCTGCCTATTTATAAACATAAAGCCATAACTAAAAAAAAAAATATAAATATATATGAATTTAATATCATGGCAACTCATTCACTAGAAATTTTTTCCACCGCTTGTTTGATGTTTCACGTTTTATGTGCGAAAAAATTAGAAAGAAAAAAATAAAGAATGAAAAATCAAATCTTCATTCAATTTCTCGCACATCATCTTGTGGAAATTTGTTTAACTTGTAGTACTCTTCTTCGTCTTCAATTCATCTTGTTGTTTTTGTTATAAAAATAGTTTGTACAAATTGATTTTGAGTTTTATTTTTAAAACAACACCACACACTGGAAATGCTGGCAAAAGCAGCCAATGGAAATTCAATTTAAATGTGTCAGACAATTTATCTTTTTCACCGAAAAAAAAAAATACCCAAGACCTTGGAGTGACTTCTTGACTTTGATAAAGTTTTATTTATTTTATTTTTTTTTGAAAATTCCAGGCACGTATTCTTAATAATCAAAAATATGAATTGAATTCGTTTCTATATAGTTGCAGAATGCAAGTTGCAATGTCAAGTCTGCAATTCCCTAAATCAACATTTGTCTAATTAATTTGGTGTCCTTTTCCAGCAGCCCCAATGGTGTCATGACACTCTAGATGGTCCGTATATATCTGTACTATATATATATAAGATATATATGTAGTTGTGTGACGGACAGATCTGTAATTTGGTGGCAATTCAAAGTTACACAGTTAAGAGTTGAAAGTTGAAAGTTTGGGGAGTGTCTGGGAGATGTGTCTGCGGGTTTATTTCTGTGCTGGCGCATAAATTATAATTATTATTAGACATGGGTTTATCTTGGACATTTTGCTTTTTTCTGCTTTTTGTTTGCTGACCAGAAGAAGGCCAAGAGGAGCGGAAAACAGGCAAATCCCCAGAGTTATGAAAGGGCCACAAATGACATGCGAGTTGGCTTAAATCATGATTTACTTATGGACTTTGAAAGTGTGTTTTCTTCGTAGTACTATTTTAACTATAATTTTTAAATATTTCTCCCTAAAAACCTAAAATCATCAAACAATGTTTTTAATTTATTCTTTACACGAAATATAAAATATTAACTCTCAAGACAATAATCCAACAATTTATGACAAATGGTTTAGGCTTCAATGTTTTAGCCCATAAAATCACAGTTTTCGCGGCCATGTGACTTCCTTGTTGTCCAAAACTCTTTGCTTTTTGGCCAGCTTATGGTACTTATCACTTTGTCACCCCATTTTGCACATCATAAATCACACGCAGCGCTACTTGAGTGCTTTAATCCACCTCCTCCTCAACCTCCTTTTAGCCAAACACCATCTCCCCCATCAGATTCCGGCCCGTATCCTTTTAGCCCCAAAGGATTCTTACATGTGCGGCAATTAACGCACGACATATGGAAATAATGGAGTGGCCACCTGAATGGGGACTTGGGCAATACACTGAAAAAATTAGATTTCTCGAAGAGAAATATTTAAGGTAGAGTTAGATTCATGGTTTTATTTAAAAGCTAAGTCCTTAATATTTTTTGAACATATTGTTTTTAATAATGAACCAAGGTTTAAGTAAAAATATCTCCAATTAAATTATAATCTTTCTTTAATTTTATTTTGTAATATTCATCTATGAACCCTTTAAATTATTTGAGTGTAAATTTTGCTCATTTTTGGGTGTGCCTTTTCAAGTAACTTCCCAAAATACCAAAAACAGGGCTGGACCTAATCCAGATTGACAAGTTCGGGAGAGTTCAGGAAAATATGGTTTCCAGAACAACCAGTTTCCGTAATCCCATTTTTGCAGCTGCTACTCCTCTATATATTATCTTGCCTCATATATTCTTTTGTCTTGTGTTTTTGTTTTTATTTTCTTTCCTTTTTTTTTAATAATAACAACCGGCAATGTCCAGCGCAATTTCTCTTCATTACAATGGCGAAAAAATGAACAAAAAAAAGCAAAGCTGCGGGAGGAGAAGGAAAATTCAGGGAAAATGCTTTCGCCAGGGGCGTGGGTTAAAAAGGGGAGCCCGAGGCTTAGGGTGCTCTAAGGGGCAGGGTGGTGTGTGTTTAATAATGATGTGCGCGCCCATTTAGCGGGTGATAATTCATTTCCTCCGCGAGACCAAACACCAAGCTCCGTAAACAGTCCGTAGACTGAGCGGCACTTTTCCGGAATGGCCGCACTTTTCCGGATCCGGAACAAGGTCACGGATTGAAGGCTGATGGAAGCCAAAAAACAAAAGTCATTGTGCTTGTTTTTTGGCAAAAAAAAATGGCATAGGATAGGCATATTTTAAGGATTAAGTTTTATAGACTAGATTTTCATTAAGAGTCTAGTTCTCAGAAGTAAATATATAAAATACACTTTAAGGCTTTTAAAAACTTATAAATAAAAGAAAAAGTCATTTTATTTAAAATAGTATAAATTCCTAAAGCTTCTTACCATTTACCCCACAAATTTAACCAAAATCCATAGACTCTTTCACTCAACGAACTTGAAGAAATAACAATAAATCTTTCAATTTGCTATTTATGATTATTTAGCCTAAAAACGCAAAAAAAAAACACATTATTATGAAATACTAAAGGGGGGGAAAAATAAAAACCAAATGCGCCAAAAGCCAATGCATAATAAATATAAATTGATATTATTTATTGAAAATTAGTTCCAAGGGCGGCAATGACCTGCAGGACCCTGGCCCAAAAATATATAAATATTGTATGAAAAATGAACGGAATGGGTGAAAGTGAAGAAAGTAGTGGCAGTGGAGAAAGTTACAGAGTTTCTGCCAAAACGGAAGCGTCGTGTAAATGCGAAAATGGCCAACGGCGTCCATTGGGCGCCCCTTTAACCTTAAATATTATTTTACTTCGATGCCTCTCCATTCCCCCGAAGCCCTTGCAAAAACTCGTGTTTGTTTATGAGTAGCATAAAAAATAAAACAAGGAAAAATGCGGAAAAAACACTAATTTGTTATACTCTTTTGTACGGGGTTTTGTGTTATTTAACCTGGAAATTAACCTAAAAAGTGGATTTTAATTAAAAGACTTATTCATTCTATATTCTTTAGAAAAATCAGTCCCCTAATTATATCCTAACTATCTCTTAGAGCATACAAACTTCGTTTCAAACCCAAAAGAAACTCTCCCTTTTCTTGTTTTCATTTTTTTGTTGGGATTTTCCGGCGTTTTTCGTGGAGATTTTCCGTATCGGTGCGTTTTTGTGTCGTGCGCGTTTAAAACCGCGGGTGGGCCGCGTCAAAGAATCTCAGCACTTCTTTTTTTTCCTGTCGGTTTTTGTTGTTGTTGATTTTATGAGTTTATAAGTTTATGATTTGATACAAAAATTAGATATAATTTCCTCTTAGCTGGGCTGTGCATAAATCGCTGTCAGTTCATTAACTTTTCATTATTTATTGAGTGTTTTGGCAATAAAACGGAATGGCCTTTTGAAGCCTTTCTGGCCCAGAGATCTATTGTAAAATGTTAACGGCGCAACTTGTTGAATGATTTTATGTTTAGTTGGCTTGGTAGCCGAAATATCTTAGGATTTATGTTGCCAAAACGTAAATTTGACAAGCACATTAAGTGAATAAAAAGCTCAGAAGTTCTTACTCACAAAATTTAACAGATAATTGCTCATAATTTAAGTCTTATGAGGTTGTTTTTTGGAATTTTTGTGTTTTATGATCAGGAATTTTGTTCAATGAGAGAGAGGTCTTAGATTTAAGAAAAAATTATTTCATAAATAACACTTTCATTGCTTTAAAAAAAATCTATTTGTTATATTTATTTAAGAACTCCCCATAAAAACTGTCTTTTAAAAAGGCCCAATAAAAACTTTTAATAATATATTACTTCAGAAACAGCTTGAGGCATTTATAAAATTTTATATTGCCCTTTATTACACTTCAAAAAATGCCTAGTAGCATCAGGAAAGAGGAAAAAAGACCAACCAATTATAATCGTAAATATAAATGGGATTATGGGATTTTATTGCCGACCGCCCATGGCTGGCCATTTCAGAGCACTTGGCACTTTTTTTTTTCTCTTGAACTTCTCTTGCCACTTGACATATTTATGTGTAATTATTATGGCCAAGGCCGGCAAACTATGGCCAAGTTAAGAACAAAAAAAAAGAAGACCCAAAATCACATTAAAAAGCCAGAAAGGTGGTATGATAATTTTGTAGCCCCACCTGCTGTTAATTAACCAATTTCCAACACAAAAAGTGCCATTCCATTCCACGTTCAGATCTCCATTTTATGCTAATGTTTCTTTTTTGACCCAAATAAGGGCCAAATAAGTAGGCTGGGCCGAAAGTCCAGTGCCGAAAAAAAATCCCGAGATTGTTATCATTATCGGGTCTAGACTCTGGACACTGGACACACCACACTTGCGGCACATGCCACACTTGATTTCCCTCAGGACACTCGGGATTCGGAAATTATCAGAAATCTCTTCTTAAAGAGGATTGGATTTTAAGAAGACTTTTTTAGCTTTAAAAGGGAAATTTCTTTTTTAAATAAAATAAAATTAATTCATAAATGTTTATAGCTGTAACATAATATATTTAAAATTAATTTGTAAAACCAAAGAAGCTAAGCTCTTTGTTTTCAAAAGATAAGGTTTAAGGTAAGATATATAAGACCTCCCTAACCTTTTTATATACTCATAAAAAACCTCTTCAAAATGATTTAAAACTTAAAAATTAATTCAAAATATATGATTTTTTTTAAAACCATTCTTTTATTACATTTTCAAGTAAAAATAACAGAAAATAGGATTAAAAGCAGCCACTTGACATCACTTGGAGCCTGTCAGGTCAAAAGTCGTAA